AAGCTCCTCAGCCTTCTTCCACCGTCCTTGATTCCGATACGTCGACGCGAGGTTGGCCATGCTGGTTAGTGTAGAAGGATGCTCTTGGCCGAGAACCCTCGAACTCGTCTCCATTACTTGCACAAAAAGCTCCTCAGCCTCGCCCCAAAGTCCAGCTTCCGAAAAAACCAGAGCAAAGTCTGCAGCGATATTTACTTCTAGTCGTGTTTGAGGACACAGGGCCTTCGCCTGCTGACACTTCGTAATATGAGGTTGTAGTCGTCGCCGAAAATAATAGTCCTCACTGGCAAAGTTCCATGTTATAGAGGCGGATAGAGCTCTCCTTGCGCTTCTCAGGTAATATTCCCAGTACGGGGGTGCTAACCGGTCCTGAGCCCAGAAGTGCACCAGGGGGTGAATGTAGAAAGCGGTTCCAAGATCATCCCGTCTCACCAACGATAACTTGAGTAATTCTCGAAGCCCACATTCGAACAGCTTAGGATCCCAGATGCCTTCCTCGTCAAGAGGTAGGAGAATGGTGGCAAATTCGGCGAGATGTTGAGCTTGTCCTTGTTCGACGGTTTCGCCCAAGTCTTCTTGGAATTTACCCAATTCTGCAGCACGCCGAAAGATTTCCTTCATGATATTTTCTCTATGCAGCATAGCAAATACCCCTTGGATATGTATTGCCGCTTGTGCCACCTTTCTCTGCTCTACGTCGGTCTCATTGTCTCTGACTTGCTCTAAAGTGGCATAAGATACGTCCCAAGTGGCGTACACAGCCTGGTCGTGGGATGATGCTCTCTGGTACGATTGCTTTTGCATCAGCTCCACCCGCTTTCGGTCAAAGCGTCGGAGATAGTCCTGTGCGCTGCAAGAACGAGTGGCCATGTAAGCGCCGGCCTGGTCGATTGCCAACGGTAAGTAGCCAAGCTCTACCACTAATTTCTTGGTGTGCTCCTCCTCCTCTCGGTGAACAGGTTTTCGTAAACGCCTGGCACTGGAGAGGAGTTGAAGAGCCTCCACTTCGTCCATCTCACCGACTTCATGATGTGCTCCCTCGGGCAAGGAAAAGTATCCCTCGGGATTCCTACTCGTATAGATGACGTTGCCGTTGTGTCTTGGCAGGGCTTCTGAGGCCAACTTGAAGTCCTCGACGTTGTCGAACAATAACAGCCATTCTTCGGTCAGCCTTCCTAGCCATAGAAACGCCGATTGAGCAGATGCTTCTGCACTGGAAACATCTGGGCAGTTCTCAGCCGCGATATCCTTGAAGCACTGCTCTACAGTGGCTGCGCTGCTGCCATCGATCCAGAAAATATGTTTGAAGCTGCACTGATCAGCGCCGTCGCAAGATACTTGCCAAGGCGAGCTTACCGCTGAATGTTCCGTTCGGCAAATTTCAACGAGATTTGGGTCTTCCCAGCCCCACCCATCCCATACAATAGGAGCTCCTTTCTTTGTAGCCTCTGCCCGGATTGAGCATTGAAAAATGCTTCCAGTCGAGCCAGGATCTGCTCTCTCCCGGTAAAGATTGGACTGGTCTCTGGCCTTGATCTAATCGGCACCCGAGGGGTTGAACGTGGGCGAGACTTTGGGAGGATACCGCCTATGGCTTATTCAGCTATCGTGTATATACTCAGGATTGTGTAAAGTTCCAACTAACGTGTGGACCTCAATGCATAGCCCCCTTCTTTCCGAGGATTCTTGAGCAGACTGATCAATTCGTTCATGCTGCTAGAAACACCACTATTCGCTAAATAGGCACTGGTATGCGTCTGAACCTCTGGCATCTTTTTCCACTCCTCAAGTGAGACTTCTCCAAGACCGTGAGACACATTGAAACGAAAGTACAGGCTTTCGATGTTTTGGAAGCGTGAACTCAGCTCTTTCGACTTCTTTTCACAATCTGTGGCGATCTGCTTTAGAGCGTTAATAAGCTCTGTCGGGAGAAGTCGTTGGAACACATCAGGCTTAGACAGACCAATCACGCCAGGGTGGCCAGTCCCAATGCTGACAAGGCAGTTGAGCATTCTGTCGTCACCGAAGACCCTTCTGGCCTCTTCTAGAACTTCATCTGCTGGGTTATTGCATCTAACCCCCCCGTCAATGAACTCTTCCTTGACTTGACCTAGCTCGCCGATGGTGACTCGTTTGAAGAATGTCGGTGCTGCCGTAGTAGCGCGGGCTGCTTCCCAGATCTCGCAGTTGACGCTCGCGTTTTCTCGTACGCGATAAGTTCGAAACAGTCGTGGATGCTCCATGTTTCTTGCCGGCATCGCGCATACAAAAGCTTTCCCCATTTCTCCCGATTCAGATGGGTGTAGCATAGAGCTTCCGACATTCGTTCTCGTCACCAATTCGCGCACTGCGTTCTTCAATGTCGTGGCCTTGAAAGTCCCATCCTTGAACGAGGGTTTTTTGTTGCCCTTGCAGAAGATCGAGCCAGCAATCTCATTGTAGATGCGAAGGGCTTCCTCGGTTGACATGCGGAACCGGCCAAGAAGTAGAGCAATGAGACTACACCGGTGGACGACCATAATTAGCTTTACACATATGAGCTTCCTAGAGGCTGATATAGCGACTTACCCTCCAGTACTGGTGCCGCCAATGAGATGAAAATAGTCACACGGGCGAGGAAGTTCTTCAAGCCCCAGGTCGTATTGGATACGCCTCATGGCTTCATGGAGGATAAGCAGCTCCGATAGACCGCGAATGCCACCTCCGTCTATTGCGGCCTGTTAGAAACCAGCCAATAAGTAAATAGAGCGACCTACCAAGGGCAAGCAGGTTCACTGGCCCATCGCTCGAAGGACCTGAGCTTTCTGCCATGGCTCTGGATACACAGAAAGGTTTGTAAAAGCGTCGCGAGCAGGACTCGGCTGAAGTATGTTAGTTGTCGAGGCTGAGAAGGCTGTGAATAGAAGTGACGGTGCGGGGAAACGCCGGTCAGTACTAACCCGTATAGGCATAAAACGCCGTGTCCGCTTCTTCTAAACCTGCTGAATCCCTGTAATTTTACGCATGAGCGTACCGCTTTGGTATTGCTCTCCACCATCGCACTAGTGCATCACTGGCGGGAAGCAGTATTGGGCAGATTCGACCACTGGCCGTAAGCCTACGGGCGAGGATCAATTCCGGGGTGTACACCAATTGCAGATTCAATTTCTTGACCATCAAAGTCGCTGATACACACGGTGAAGCCCAGCCTCAAGCTTTTCGTCCTTATCCCATAATCATACTATGCGGAACCCCTCTCCTGAATGCCGAGCTTTTCGAGTGTAGCTTTGCTCAAATTATGTCTGCGACAGCTCAACTCTTAGCACACAGGCTCCACTGTGTCTCAGACGGGGAGGGCTGTGCGCTGACATGCATTAGCGTACCTACAGCATATCCACTAAGCGCTCGCGATACGGTCTGCATTGTGCAGCGGCCTTGCTTACTCACATATAATGGGCCGCAACAGCTCGGCATTGGAAGCTCTACGATGATGACTCAGGCTTAGAGCTGAGTTGGTGCGTAGAACCAAGGCAGAGCATGTTGTACAAGACCGCAAACGACAGGATAAGCTCTCTGTAGTGCTACTCTGCATTCATTCGTGCCTCGTCACACGCTTAGGAACCTACTATAAGACTTGATGGAGTCTCAAATGTGCTGTAACCGATCCTGTACTATCTCTAATATTTGGCTGAACAGTATTTTCAGCCTCAAGGCTGTAAGGCCGGCGAATGTAATTTGATGTGCATGCGGCTACACTCAATATTTATAATTGTGGGCCGGAATTCGTGGCCGCTCTCGCGTTTCTGCTCTATGTGCTCAAGCGCTCCTCTCGGCAGAGCGCATGACTCAAATTACATCTTGACGGCCACGTTTTTATAATCTATGCAGGAGCAAAGACAGGCCAGCATGGTGCAATCGGCGAGTAGTGTCTATCCAACATGTAAGTTCGGGGAAGTCACCGGAATAAGTGTTTGCAACCAGGGCCCCACGTCCGACACCTATACGACAAGCTCACGCGCTGCCAGGCTGGCATTCTCGCCCAATCACGAACTGGTCATTGCTGGCTTAACCAGCACCGCAAGCGGATGGGCCGCACCGACAATGAGAAGTGTGAATGCGGAGAGGTCGAATCGGTCTCCCACATCCGCCTCAACTGCCCACTGCTACAAGAAGGCAGGCGAAAGATGTACGAAAACAGCGAGCTTACAAAGAACAGCTTATCGGCTCTGCTGGGCTGCAAGCCTCCAAGAAATACCGAAGTCATTCGAGAAAATGAACCTAGATGGAAAATATCTACAACAAGGCTGCAAGCCGTACTCAAGTTTGCCAAAGAATCACAGTGATTTATGAACAGAGAAGAGCACATGGTGTGGGACTCCGCTACACCCCGGCTACCCTTACCACCAGCCCTCCTAACTACCTACCTACTCTCCCAGTTTGACACACATCAATGTATTACTAGAGGAACATCTTAATAGTCTGTAGCCTGCATATCGCTCAGGGCGACGGGTCAGGGTAAATGAATTCAACTCGACTCAACTCCTGGAATGGTATTGGAGAGGGGGGCAGGATTGCCCCAGTGGCTCGAGTAGTGTAAATGGTAGGCATGTGTAGACAATAAGTAGATTCATACACTGAATAGCGGTATTATACTTTAATCACAAAGCCATCCATTCAGCGCTTGCCGGTTGCTCACTGAGGAAGAATATTCCATGAATCTACCTTCCAATTGCCTCATTGAGCACTTGTTAAAGAACTGCTTGCATGAGCACCTAATCTGCAATCTCTGAGAAAGCCCGGCGTATCAGGTAAGAGGATGTCGATTTCACGAAATATCTTCCACAATACCTCCAATTCTTGCAGGATCTCGTTGCGAGGTTGCACATATTCGTCCTCGATACCCTGACGTCTTTGAGCGAAAAGAAAGTGGTGAGCCTTTGCAAAAGCAACGCTTTCTCTAGAATCGAGAAAGACTATCTCCTCCTCTCTCTGTCCGAAGAACACATGCTCTTTAGTCAAAGAATCAATAGTCTTTTCGAGCCTATCAGAATCAAAATCGGCCAAAAAGAATTCTCCAGTTTCAAATACATAGATAAAGGCGGTAGAGCTGGTGTATACAGTCCGTGCAAGCCGTCGAATCTGATCCTGATTTCCGAGGATCCTGAAAGGACCGCTTCCGAGAATCGGAGAAAGCCCCGAGTCGATGAGGTCAGCATTGCTCAAGAATGGGCTAGAGGAGTCGGCTGATGAGTTGCTGGCTCGGTTCGGCACATATGTTACTTCTGCCCCATTGGAGGATGAAGATCCCGTGGAATAAACGGAGGAGGGAGCTCTGTGACTGACCGCATCTAAGGGTGCCTGGCCAATTCTCGATCTCATTCTTAGCATTCTCAAAGGCCCGTTGTGTATGGTGCGTCGCTGAGAAACACCTTCAGCTCCTACAGCCTCATCTCCAACCATCCCGCCGGATGGTGGCGAAGTGGCGTCGTTCGTACTGCTCCCAACTCTCGATAAAGCCGTGGAAATATTTTGGGACTGGCC